GGGGGGGGGTGGCCAGGTGGTGGGCTCCGGGGGGGGGGGGGGCCTGGCTGCCTCTAGCCTTGTCTGGTCAAGGACCCACGCTTTGTGGGGTGGCCCCAGAGGCGAGCCCCCACCCATGGCCCAGGGTCTGGCAAAGTCTGTCACCAGCCCTAGTTCCTCACACACACACCCCTCCCGTGGCACCCAAACTCCCTCCCAGAGCCTCCAGGCGGGCAGGGCGTGGCCTCGGAAGGGGCAGGGCAGAGGGCGGAGCAAGGCTCTTGGGGTGGGGCACGGCCATTGACAACCCTACCAGGTGAGCACGAGGAGGCCCTGGCCATGCGGGAGGGGCGTGCCACGTGGCTCCCAGCCACAGCAGGGGGCGGGTGGGCGGGCGCCGGGCAGTGCAGGGCCCTGAAGGCGCAGGGCCCATGAGAACTGCCTTGCCTTAAGGCCAGGCCTGTGTGGGGCCCCATCCCCTGTTCTTGATCCCGGGGCCCTGAGCTGTGGCTTCAGGAGTTGGGGGCGGACAGCGCTGCAGATGTGCCTTGCTGGGACCAACGTTTCCGCTGCCCACATTTAAGCAGCAGGGATAGCAACCCCCCACCTGGGTTTGTACCGTGGTGCCTAATTCAGACTGGGAACCCCAGAGCGGCAGGGCCCCCAGCCCACGGCGCTAGGGAAATAAAGCACAGGGACGGTCTCAGTGTCTCTTCCTTCCACGGGCTCATGAACATACGTGCAAGAGAATGTCACGTGCACACGAGGACACCGCACGCTCAAGATGAAGGACGTGCTTCGCACGTTGAGCTGCCCTCGGCTGTGATTGGTGGGACACAAGGGTGCCCTCGGCTGTGAATGGTGGGGTGCAGGCTGCCCACGGCTGATTGGTGAGAAGTTTTGGCCTCCTTCCTGGTGCCTGGTGAAATATCGAGGTGCTCAACACCAGTGCTTTGGAACAAAGGTGAGCACCCCAGTCACATTGCTCCTATGCGGAGAGGCCCAGCCATACGCGCCCGCAGGGAACCAGTCACCCTGCCCGGAGGGCCTCCTGTGCAGCTGGCCGGCATGAAGGAGCTCCTGGCAGAGTGAGGCCCGGCGGGCTGGGAGGAGCCCCTTGAGATCAGTCCCCACCAGGGCTTCCCCCTGTTCCTAGGAGGTGGGTGTCCCGATGCCCAGGTTTGCGGGGCTGCCATAGCATATGTCTGGGGTTACCTTAGGCAGCGGCTCTCGCACTTTTTGGCCTGTGGCCTACCTGGTTCAACACAGATCTTTCCTTGGACCACCAGCCAACCACCCATGACAGCAAAATGGGTGTAGGAGAGGGTGGGGTGTAGCGTCTAAGAGAGCGGATGGGGCAGGAGCGGGCTGAGGGTGGGAGTCGGTGGGAGGGGGGGTGCGGGAGCTGGGTGGGGGTGGGTGGGAGGTTGGGTGCGGGAGCGGGCTGACGGTCGGTGGGAGGTTGGGTGCGGGAGCGGGCTGACGGTCGGTGGGAGGTTGGGTGCGGGAGCGGGCTGACGGTCGGTGGGAGGTTGGGTGCGGGAGCGGGCTGACGGTCGGTGGGAGGTTGGGTGCGGGAGCGGGCTGACGGTCGGTGGGAGGTTGGGTGCGGGAGCGGGCTGACGGTCGGTGGGAGGTTGGGTGCGGGAGCGGGCTGACGGTCGGTGGGAGGTTGGGTGCGGGAGCGGGCTGACGGTCGGTGGGAGGTTGGGTGCGGGAGCGGGCTGACGGTCGGTGGGAGGTTGGGTGCGGGAGCGGGCTGACGGTCGGTGGGAGGTTGGGTGCGGGAGCGGGCTGACGGTCGGTGGGAGGTTGGGTGCGGGAGCGGGCTGACGGTCGGTGGGAGGTTGGGTGCGGGAGCGGGCTGACGGTCGGTGGGAGGTTGGGTGCGGGAGCGGGCTGACGGTCGGTGGGAGGTTGGGTGCGGGAGCGGGCTGACGGTCGGTGGGAGGTTGGGTGCGGGAGCGGGCTGACGGTCGGTGGGAGGTTGGGTGCGGGAGCGGGCTGACGGTCGGTGGGAGGTTGGGTGCGGGAGCGGGCTGACGGTCGGTGGGAGGTTGGGTGCGGGAGCGGGCTGACGGTCGGTGGGAGGTTGGGTGCGGGAGCGGGCTGACGGTCGGTGGGAGGTTGGGTGCGGGAGCGGGCTGACGGTCGGTGGGAGGTTGGGTGCGGGAGCGGGCTGACGGTCGGTGGGAGGTTGGGTGCGGGAGCGGGCTGACGGTCGGTGGGAGGTTGGGTGCGGGAGCGGGCTGACGGTCGGTGGGAGGTTGGGTGCGGGAGCGGGCTGACGGTCGGTGGGAGGTTGGGTGCGGGAGCGGGCTGACGGTCGGTGGGAGGTTGGGTGCGGGAGCGGGCTGACGGTCGGTGGGAGGTTGGGTGCGGGAGCGGGCTGACGGTCGGTGGGAGGTTGGGTGCGGGAGCGGGCTGACGGTCGGTGGGAGGTTGGGTGCGGGAGCGGGCTGACGGTCGGTGGGAGGTTGGGTGCGGGAGCGGGCTGACGGTCGGTGGGAGGTTGGGTGCGGGAGCGGGCTGACGGTCGGTGGGAGGTTGGGTGCGGGAGCGGGCTGACGGTCGGTGGGAGGTTGGGTGCGGGAGCGGGCTGACGGTCGGTGGGAGGTTGGGTGCGGGAGCGGGCTGACGGTCGGTGGGAGGTTGGGTGCGGGAGCGGGCTGACGGTCGGTGGGAGGTTGGGTGCGGGAGCGGGCTGACGGTCGGTGGGAGGTTGGGTGCGGGAGCGGGCTGACGGTCGGTGGGAGGTTGGGTGCGGGAGCGGGCTGACGGTCGGTGGGAGGTTGGGTGCGGGAGCGGGCTGACGGTCGGTGGGAGGTTGGGTGCGGGAGCGGGCTGACGGTCGGTGGGAGGTTGGGTGCGGGAGCGGGCTGACGGTCGGTGGGAGGTTGGGTGCGGGAGCGGGCTGACGGTCGGTGGGAGGTTGGGTGCGGGAGCGGGCTGACGGTCGGTGGGAGGTTGGGTGCGGGAGCGGGCTGACGGTCGGTGGGAGGTTGGGTGCGGGAGCGGGCTGACGGTCGGTGGGAGGTTGGGTGCGGGAGCGGGCTGACGGTCGGTGGGAGGTTGGGTGTGGGAGCGGGCTGAGGGTGGGTGGGAGATTGGGTGCGGGAGCGGGCTGAGGGTGGGTGGGAGGTTGGGTGCGGGAGCGGGCTGAGGGTCGGTGGGAGGTTGGGTGCGGGAGCGGGCTGAGGGTCGGTGGGAGGTTGGGTGCGGGAGCGGGCTGAGGGTCGGTGGGAGGTTGGGTGCGGGAGCGGGCTGAGGGTCGGTGGGAGGTTGGGTGCGGGAGCGGGCTGAGGGTCGGTGGGAGGTTGGGTGCGGGAGCGGGCTGAGGGTCGGTGGGAGGTTGGGTGCGGGAGCGGGCTGAGGGTCGGTGGGAGGTTGGGTGCGGGAGAAGGGAGGGTGCGGGAGCGGGCTGAGGGTGGGTGGAAGGGAGGGTGCGGGAGCGGGCTGAGGGTGGGTGGAAGGGAGGGTGCGGGAGCGGGCTGAGGGGGGGTGGGAGGGTGGGGGCGGGAG